AAAAACATCTAAATTCGATGTAACCACCCACTATCATCTCAAGAGAACCCTAGTTACACGATGGAGTAACTTTAAGCGAGGCTTTCGCTCTTCATTAGATTTTATGGACTCCAGGAAACGGCCTTAATAAATGCAGATCTCCCAGGCCTAATTGCACTTCCATTTGTAACAATGAAGGAAGTAAAATGGTCCATGAAACGTATTTAAGGACAAACGGAGGTGCTCATCTTATTTTGCAAATCCTCATTCCCATAAAAATGATTATTTTTAGGAGTTATGCAACAATCAAATGAAGACAGTTATAGGTCAAAATTAAAAACGACTAAAAGTGCAAGTCTAAAGAGAAAAGGGTAAAAACGAAGGTGTTTCTTTGTGCCATGTCATCTTAGATAAAGCCCATCCTAGGGAGATTCTTTGCTCATAGGTTTGCAAGGCTAAGTAAAGCTAGGAAACCTTTACGCATCGTACTCTTAAACATTAGTCAATTTTAAATCTTCAAGCAATTTGTAAGTAGAGCTAAAGTGACCGCGGTCGTTGCCAAGGTCAAGGTTGCTGGCTAAGGCCTCCCAATTGTCACTGCCGTCATTTCCGTGGCGGCATTGACCCGAAGAGGGGAGAGATATTGGAAAGGCGTAGGTCTTGGTTATGAGGACCGTCTGCATTCACCGTCGCTGTCTTCAAAGCAATGAACTGCGGGCAGCGGTAACAAAAATTACTGCTTCTACCTGAACACGCACAAATCCCACCCGCACTTGTCAAACACATTTATATCAGCAGTCATTTTCAACTCTCAGTCAACACTGTTCGTAAAATGATTTCTCAGAACATGTGAAACAAATGCATTTGGTTGAACGGTCATCATTTTTCGTGTTCTCCTTAATTGCAAAACCTCGCGCAACCATTATAACGCCATCGTCGTGTATCACAGTTGCCGAATCGTAAAACTACAAGGATGACTTTTCTACTGGGAAGAAATTTTTCTTCGGGAGGATATGGGCCGATTCTTTCCATAGTTACTGCCCATAGAAGATGGCAGGATTAGAAGGTAAAATCAGACAATGTGATGCGTTTGTCTTCTAATCTCGAAATTTGATAAAAGGTTCTGTGTGCATTCTGGTTTTAGTACCGTTTGCATAAAATTTATATACTCTTAGGCCCCGTGGTGGTCCGTTTTTGTTTGGTTTGACGTGGCCAAGATAATAATAACAGCCAAGGAGAAGGACGCTTGCAACAATAATGTTATCTCCACGAACCGCTTCTTTTGCCTTGTTCAAGGCACAAGTTATTGCAGAATGCATTTCGACTTAGCAAAGTATAATCTCAAAGTTGATGTCGAACCCTCTTGGATTTCTATGGTGTTTAAAGTCTTAGGTATATAAGCAGAAATACTGATAAATGGAATAAGTTTGGTGACCAAAATGTCAGTGATAGGAGTAAAACTGTACAGTTCCAATTTCGAGCTAGCTCAAAGAATCGGAAAAGCTAATCTTGGCATCCAAAGAGTGATGCATGCATTTGAAGGCTCCACAGCCTTGAATGAAAGTGGAAACCATGATAATGGGACAATTAAGTGGCGTCTTCTTGCGTCGTGCCTCAAATTTTTGGTGCTACTGCCAAATAAGATAAATGCTGATTTTAAATATCACTTTGACACGTAGAGATTGCAGCTTTTATGGTTAATAATATATCAAAGTTGGCTACATTTTTACTTGCTTGTAGACAAAACCAACATCGACGGCAATTGTGACATGTTGTTGTCTTAGAAAAGTTCTTCTAAGATCATAAAAGATTATTTATTAGATGTTTAAGCAACTGCTCGGTTTTCGAAATCAAGACAATTAGTGGAATTTTAGCTTTGCTTTTTCACAATCCACTTTATGTTCACTTTAGGGCGATTAGTTTAAAATGGGCACCAATCTGAGTAAGCGTTGAATTACAAACATGCTTGGTTGAAAACGCACGCAACTCGTAATCTCGATGGATATTACGTGGGAACTCTCTAGATATCGCAAGAAAACCAAACATTTACAAGAGTTGCACATAATTTTAGCTAAAATGAACGAAGTCGAGCAACTTAGGTGCATAAAGAGGTGAGTCTTGATGGAATTCTAGCTACTACGAAGAAGGTTTAAGAACTGCATTAGGGAGCCAAGTGGCATCCAATTATGCATCATTCCGATCGCAAATCAGAGATATGACAAGCCCTCACACAGTCCCACTAAATGAACAGATGACAGTCCCATCGAATTTCGCAATTTGATCAAAATTATTACCAACCCCTGCGGGAAATTTGCAACGATTGTGCTTTGAGGTATGGAACAATGAAAAACGTGTGTTTAACCCTCCTGCACTTGTGAATAAAAACTAAGAAATCCATACTACTGCTGCTGACAATGGAATGGGATGTTTAAGCCATCTTTGCAAAGCTTGGTGAAACAATATTCCTGCTTTTTTCCTAGCACCACGTGGCACAGTAGGGGACGGAAAAATAAGCATGTCCGCCGACAGAATTTTCGGCAAATACCTCTAACTTTGAGCTGAAGGAAAAATAGGCGGGACTAGGTTGGCTGACGGATATAGATGGATGTGCACTGAATGGGAGCCCAGCGCTAAATTTTACACCTCTGATCAGGGCAACAGTTGCGCTGACCAAAAGCTTATTTTGACAAAATGAATACACCTGAGATGGAGACCGGCGAGATATTTAAGCTATTTAGAAGATGGTACGACATCAATTAGAGATAACAATTACTGGCCGCCTATGCCAGCATTTTAATCTCCGAGACCCATAACACAAGCAACTAATTTTTCACGTTTCATTTAATTCAATGATTCATAATGCCCATATCTTTTAAGACTTCATTTAGATTAAGTAAACTACGACTCAATCACCTTCACCTACGAAATGTCCAAATTTTGGGAACCAGGCAGTCAAAAAATACACATTATGCCTACTTCACAAACAAGACAGCAATCACTTTTGCTAAAAATAACGTTTCCGATTTTGTTTATAACGCACCGCATCAAGTTGAAAACATTGTCTACTTCTGCAACATTCGGTATGCCGTCCTTAGCTTTCCGTGGTGTATGATAATATGTCTTCAACAGCTGTTCTGGGAAACTCTATGAAGTGAACGGGAATCCAAGTCGTTAAGTCCCATAAACACCAACGCTTTGCAAACTAATTAAGGCACGGTTTTGAGTTTTAGGAATTAAAATTTCACTCTAATTGCATTATTTAGTTTCGCGTATCATCGTGTACTTTACATTTAGATGATTTATTAAAAACTACGAACTTCAAATGCAATGTACTCTTGCCTTTGAAGGGAGAAGGTTCTCAGTAAAATTCCTGACTACATTTTAAAGCCATCGTCACTGGAGGTCATTGTTCCGAGTTTACGATAATTATGGCAGACCGTATTTAAGTCAGTAGCGTCGCCTAGCATTAATGCTTAAATATGGTCAAACCTTGGTAATGAGTGTGAGTACTCATGACAAGTAGATGGATAAATACGCTTAAGCATTTTCACCTCGGTGAATTCATATTCAGTAAGTTTCGACATCGCGTGATTAAAGGTCGTTGAAGGTGGCCTACTTGAGGAGTTATGGGGAGGTATCATACTGTATAGGAGCAGCGTCGTGGTGGTAGATTCGTGTTCGCAGCACTTACTTGTAGTATTTTATGATCTTTCAGCGTTCAACATGCCCTATACATTTCCTTTGGTGCCTTCTTTAAGTGCGGCAATGGCAAAAATTCTATGAAAAATTTGGGAGAGCAAATGTTGTCCTTTGTCACATTGGGATGCGATAAGGCATTCATTTTATCCATCAGACGCAATTAAAGCACGGAATGAACTGTGAACTTACTTTTATTAATTAAGGCATTGTAAGTATGCGTTCCAATTTAAGTTTATGATTTCCAGTTCGATAGCTCATTCACCTTCCTTCAAGTTTGCCACTCAAGTGCGGCAGAAGACAGGCCTCTCTTTTTACGCGAACAGGATATCTTAATTATTCATCTTTAAACCACCACTGCTGTTGCTATGTGATGCTGTGTAGATAGCGTGGCAAGGAGCTCTCTCCCTCTCCAGAGGCACGTCCACAGAGGGCAATAACTGCAGCTCGTGCAGTCGCACTGAGTTTCGGTGGCAAAATAATCAAGCGCTCCTATCGCTGGTCATCTGCAGCAACTCATCAGCACAAAATTTCGGTAGTGGCAATAAAACATACGGACTGGGAAATCAAGATGTCGTCTAATCTTTGCTACTTTCAAGGCAATTCTGTACGAAGTTTTGAACTATGTTGCTTCCCATGAGTTGATTTCATTAACTTCGAATGTACCTCAAGTCGCGGTCACTGTTCTCCGAAAAGTAGCGCATGAAATAAACCTCATCTCTGTACCTGCTTAATTCTATCAGTAGAATATGGTCTCTTGACAGTCATGCGTCATACTACTGGATACATTGTTCAACTTCTTTTGATTAACTGTCACCAAGCTTACCTCACAAGTCTTGATTCAATTTCCAAGCGAAAACCGTGACACTTTAAATGCAGAAATAACGGGCAGTAAACCATGATTTGTTTACACCACCTATGAACCTTAGCAATGCAATTTAAAAACCATCAAACATTAGTTCTTGCTCAGAAGTAAATCTAAATTAGGTCGATCCGTCAACTCCCAACTCAAGAATGATGTGATCGAATTTGGGTCTCGCTTTTGGAAACTGTAGAGTTACTTTCCATTCTTTTTGTTTCCCTTCAAAACACCCAACAGAGATGCTGACGCTTGGTTCAAAATCTCGGCTCGCATCACTTGCCTTCAATCTTAACTGAAATGCGATAATTGAGTTAAATTGCACATCCGAAGGAAAAGCAAAATTCTTGAAACCCAATGGTAATGGGAACTTCATCACCTAAAACAACTGGAAGAACGGACACCAAGGCAGGAACTTGGTCCTTATATTATTTTAAATCATGTCGACACTGGAGTGTTCGCTTTTCTAGAGGTAGAAAAGCCACGCGAGGTGGAGGTCGAGGAAGGTTGATAGAAGTAAGGATGGTGGCTTACCCACATATTGTCGAACGCCGATGATCGCAATGAATATCACCATTAGACCTCCGGTGTACTGATAGTTGAGCTGATCGATAAAATCCACACCATCTCCACCATAGGAAGTTTGGAATAGTTTCCCTGCCCTCAGCACCGATTCAGGATTCATGTCAGAACTGTACGAGAGTCAAGGTCACCAGCGCCCCTCACTCTCGACTCGAATTAGCGATCTTTCTATTGCTGCGTACACTTTTCAGATGTGGTGGCTGCTTGAGTCGCGAAGACAAGAGGACAATGAAGGAGAAGGAGAAGAAAAAGGTACAGCACAAGTTTGAGTAGACGTGAGTTGTAGCAGTAATAATTCCATGTGTTTCGTCGAGGTGGAAATGAGGCTTAGGCTCCCCGCATTCTCTCTAGTAACATCCACAAGCGATTAGTCAGCATAGAAAATATCAACAGCAATACCAGTAGTAGTAGTGGTGGTAGTGGCTGTGATGGCTGTGCCCATTATGGACTTGCTACGAAGAGACGAATTGCGTGTTCATCTGCCATTTGTGCGTATAATGCACGCACTAGAGGCTGCGCAGCCAGTCATTTTTACAGGAGCCGCACGCGCGCTTGATCCTTTAGTGCGTTCGTACGTTTGGATGTGCGTGCGTGCGAATGGACGAGGGATCGCGTAGTATGGACAGGCCTCGTGGTCTGTCTGCCTCACCAGCAGATACGGCTTTTTCGGGGAGAATTTCGCCTTTCAGCTGATGACGAGAGAAGCAGTTAACGTGAGATGTGTGTGTTTGCATCTGTATATTTGCGTATCCCTATCTCCTTCTTCCTCCTGCTCTGTCTCTCTTTCTCCCTTCTGTGAGATCAGTTTGATGTGTTGACAATCATTTATAGGACCATTTTTGGTCATTATTTAGGAAGTTACTTTTGCTGCCTTCTTCATTACAACAGCTTTTTGGCTTGGTTTATTAGAAAGGCATTAAATAGCATTTATATCATCTACTCTCATCACTTGATTTCATTAGTAATCATTAATGATATTTCACAATTTACCCTCGACAGCACCATATTAATCTGGTAACCTGGTAGTGACTTTTGCGCACATAAATTCACTCCAACACAAATGCAAGAACCGCTTAAAATAAATGGAACGCACTCAGTGTTTGTGAGAATTTGAGGACATTGCAGTAAAGATCTATTTATCTGCGCACAAAAAAGGTTGTGGGAAGATTGAACGCAAAAAACTATCAAATACCTGGTGGTAGCTTCCGCATGTTCTTGCAAGATAGATGGAACCTAGGCAAGCCTTATTCTTGCCAGGCAAAAAATCATTTGTAACATCGATGTGTGGGCAAACGTGTAGTGGGATTGGCGCATCACATGCACTGTAGATTTCAGACAAACTTGAAATTGGCACTTGAACGGTAACCACCGCTTTCAGTGACGATGGCTTTCCTCCGTTTGCTTGGATTTGATAACGAAACACCTAAACCCATAAAGCAAGACTTTTTTTCTCTGAAATATTTAAAATCCCTCTAATCCCAGATGCTTGCACGACATACGGTCTCCAGGTCAATTGCGAAGGGCGACGCCCATTCACATACATAAAATACCCAAAAAGCAGTCTGTTGGTTGGTATTTTGTAATGATTGCTGGTGACTTGGTGCATTCTCAAGACATTTATTCCATTTAACTCATTATACAAGCACTAGCTCATAGGTAGATTCCTCAAAACAGGTGGCAAGTAACATCCTACGTTCATCATTTTGGAAGGTTCGCTGGTATTAAAATAAGACTTTAAGTCCTAGACTGTAAATGATAATGGTTAAACGTCTACCCTTAAGTGGCCCTCAAATATATGCACTTGGCTTTGAGATAAGTTTTAACCAAGTGGCATTGCAACAAAATCCCTAATCGGATGGTGTTGGAGGCAGTTATGCCATACAGTCTTGGTAACAGCTACCTTCAGATACTTAACTAGACAATGTGTGCCTCCCTTTCCTCATAAATAAGCGTGAAGCCAGGGAAGACATCGTCACACGACTCCATTTAGCGCTAACTATGAGCACCTTAAAGGACTCTCATCAACACCCTAAAACCATAAACAACCGATATTCCTCCATTCGTGACTTCATTCTTTAAACAAAACAAGCCCGTTTTAACTGCTCTCTTAAATTCCAGGTAATCACCTTAATCGTTATTATGCATGGGATTTGTGTATTGTTACCTTATGGCATTACTTGATGGTTCCTAAACTGAAGAAAGTCAATGAAATTCAAATGATTGTACTTTGAGCTTAAAGCCACTATTAATTAATGCTTCATATCTGTTTCACTGTTTTACCTCTACCACCGACCCCTTTATCATGGTGGTGGAACACTTCAGTCAAAAATTATCACCAATGATGAACGAAGGGAAAATCAACTGTCCTTTAACTGTCTCCACCAATAAAATCCACTTCTCTTTGATTCCACCAACGTAGGCGGAACCTCGGTGGGAAGCTAGCCCTTCCGATTGTTATCTTTTCTATGTTTTTAGTTGACTCAGTCACTGTATTTTGTAATAATCAGCTTTGTTCGTTTGCGTGTGTTAAATCTTGAGCGCGGCAGCATCATGAATAATTTGGATGAGAGGCGCAACCTTTCTGTTAAAACAAGTTACACTTCAGGAAACTTTTGACAACAATTTAATTTAATATTTTAACCGATTTGTCGGCAAAAAAACCAAGGTATAGCATCAAATTTTTATTGTTGCTGAGTGGACCTCCTTATAACAGAAATTGGGCTTCGGAGGAAGCGTCACCTGCGTTTGCTGTTTCTTTGAACTTGCGTAGCTTTCTGTGTACTGAAGCTTTTAACAACATTGTGAAGTCATGAGGCGAAATGATGAATTCAAACTTACTTTGTCATCCTTTAAAAAAGCTATTGCTAAGGAGTTGGAGATCAAATTAAGATGTCGACCTCAGGAAGACAGCAAAGCCGATTCTTAGGATAATATGCAACAGACTTGTTGCCCCTTCTTTCGACACTGCAATCTACTTTTGCACAAAAGCTGCGGAACTAGATTCAAAATAGAATGGTTGAGCGAATGAAATATATCCAATATAGACGGCCGCCTTCAGCCAAACCAGGTTCCGCCTACTCTTTATGGCATACAACACAAAATTCCTGAGGTGTGATTCACCTTGCCCTTTCTACATTGCGACGATGATTCAGTGATAATCACCTTTGCATACCATGGCAAAAAATGTCTGTAGGTTTTTAATGCAGCCTTTTTAGGCAACACGAAACACAATTTACCCAGGTTAGTAGGAATCTCCGTAGTCAACAGTAGAGCACCATCGCAGCTTCGAAAGTGACATGGTGCAACAGGAATGTATAGTTGTTTTTACCTATATATTTTGAGCCATCTAAGTTTTCATAAAGTGGCCAGAACTAAATATGCTTGGCAAAGGTCCCTAATGCTATCATCCAGTGCATACTTCACTCATCCTGTATAGTTTGATGCTAGTTACCTCTGCGCAGTTGGCTTCTTTCTCGGAACAAACGGGTTGCAGCATTACCGACACGTGCATGTGGCCAAGCTAAAGTAAAATTGCAAAGGTTTCACTGGTTAAGAGGAAAACTTAAATGATCTTAAAATTGTTTCTTTTTTGCTTACAAAAATGAGATTCATTTAATAGTGGGAGGTGATTACTCGCAGGTGACATCTTCCATTGGCAACTTTATCCATCCGCAGTACTTTTTGCTGATTTCGCATCGCAAATGCAGCAGTACTCATTGTGACACGTGAAAACGCCTACTGTGTGGCGTGTTATCAGAAACACTGTCCTCTTCTCGACCGTATCTTTGCCTGCGGACAGCAACAGCTTAATAGACTTAGGCTTGAGCATACTTTGCAAAAGTGTGAAGCGCAGCAAGTTTAATCTCATTTTTTCAGCAAGCATAACGCAGAACTTATTAGCATATCGGTTCGGCTTTGAGACAAATGCTATTTTTCAATACTCAGGATGTGCAGTGAAATGACTATCATTGAAGTGATGCACAAAGCTCATAAAATGATTTAAAAGTGAGACAAATGCATCATTGCTTGTGTAAAAGAGAATAATGCCCCTTAGTAGTTATGCTTTCGTTGGCATGGGCTGACGGATTAAATAATGAATGTTCCATTGGTTTTGCACCAACTTCTGTCCTGTAGAACTTACAACCATCTTCGCTTCGATTCACCTCATTTGATAAAGCTTGCAGGTTATTTCCCAATACATTCACTAAGGCTACGAAATTACAATGAAAGCTTAAACGAATGTGTGTTTGATGCCAGTGTATGCCTAAAGTACTTGTTTAATGGTGTACAAAAAATAAAACTCACCAAATGGCGAATTAAAGAGCGCAACGGCACATTTTTTAGCTGGATCATTATTAAAAGCAGACAATCAGGTTCGAACTTCCTCCACAACAACGATTTGAGCACTTTTGTCGTTTAAAAGTTTTACAAACATTATACTCGTGGCAACAACATTTTCCCCCATTTGTCTCAGCTGTCACCTATCCTTGCTACTTTAGTTGTTGGGTTAACTCCAGATGCCATACCACATGACCGACAATCGAAGAATGACTTTAGATTCCTCTTCTTCAAAATCTTTAAGTGTGGAATCATGCTTCGTTGTGAAAAATAAGGCTTTCTTGGAATTGCCATAAAATTTGGTCTAGAGTAAGCGCAAAACAAGGTGGGCTTTAATACAGCAAAACTTGATATGGGCGATAGGGCATTATGTGAATGAATGTTTGGGTGTCCAGGGCAGAGAGTGGCAGCCTGCCTAAAAATCCTCTTTAATTGGGAAGCCCATTCCTCCTTAAGCAGGCGTATTTTCATTTGTCTTCAAACTATTTCTTGAAAAAGTCGGAAAAATGAAAGTGATGCATACCTGGTTCGGACATGTTCGCAGTAGTTAAACCATTTCAACCTGTTTGTTAAACATTTAAAGGTCTGTAGTTCAACAGCTGCTGTGTGACCTGAGTTGTTTGCAACAAAGATTAGGAAATCAAAGTCAGATGTTTTTGTTCATTGTCGTAAATTAATTACGCCCAGACCTTTCAATGAAGTACAGTGTCTCAAAATGACCGTCAAAAAGGATTGCCAAGAGTGTTTACACATCAACTGCTGCCT